CAGCCGCATGGATCAAGGAGGTACGAGCGACCTCCATGACCAAGCCAATGCGGCGCTCAGCAACCCCATTCTGCTGTGGAGAGGCCGGAAGCGTGAACGACTGCTCAATGCCCTCCCCCTGACAGAAGGCCCTCAAGAGGTCGGAGGAAAACTCCCCACCTCTGTCAGAGTGCAGACGCAGGACAGGAAAGTCAGAGTGGAACCTCTCGCTGAGCTGGAGACGGGCAGCACGGATCCAAGGGATCAAAACATCAGGGACTTTACCCTTGGTGCGCAAGGGGAAGACCGTGGTGTAGGGCGAGTAGTCTTCAACAACTATCAAGAAGTACTTCTCGTGACCCTGTCCACGGACGCGGGCTGGGCCCACACGTCCATGTGGAGCGTCTGCAGGGGAGCAGTCGTCGGGGGAAACGAGGAGGAGTGAGGAGCAGCGCGCTGCCGCCCCTCGACACAGGGAAGACAGGGAGGAGCAGGCGAGGGTGGGAGGGGAGGGAGAACCCTGGGAAGACCAGAGACAAGGTACCGGGAGTGCATACCACGAAGGCGCTGCACTGACGGGTGACCAAGGCGGTGGTGCCAGAGGACGGTCTCGTGTGCCAGGGAGCGACACGAGCAGGGGGCCGACAGCTGACCTGACGCAGACGCAGACGCAGCTACCTGAGTGGACTCAGTGGTCAGTGTGTACAGGTCCAACCCCGGCTGCCGAGTGAAGGTAGCCAGGTGGCGACCCGTCCGAGCACACGTGCAGTGTGTCACGCGCTCGTAGGCAGGGGTGAACTGGTGAACACCCCCGTCCTGGAGTGCACTACCCGCCACCAAGTTCGTAGAGAACGAGGGGAGGTAGAGACCTGACAGTGTGCCCGACGGGACCGCAGGACAAGGGAGGACAGTGGAGGAGGTCGCAATGACCGGACCCCCAGAGGGGTCAGCGAGGGAGACTGCAACTGGCCGAGCAAGCTGCTCAAGGGCAGTGCGGTCACGAAAGAAACAGCGGGAAGCACCCGAGTCCAGTGTGAAGGTGTGCAGTGCCTCAGTAGACGCAGTACCAGCAGGCGCAGACGCACGAGCACCTGGAGCAGCAGACTCACTAGTACCTAGAGCAGCAGCCTCACCAGCACCTGGGGCAACAGACACACTAGCACCTAGAGCGGCAGCCTCACAAGCACCTGGGACAACAGACACACGAGCACCTAGTGCGGCAGACTCACTGGTCCTAATGCCCGGGTCGGGCGGGACACGCAGGTAACAGTCACCCTCTCCACTAACAGTCAATGCATACATGGCACCAAGGATAGCATCAAAGTCAAGAGCAAAGATATCAATATTCTTTTTCATCAGATCAGCCCAGCGGGGCAGCTCAGTGGCGTCAGGAAACTGTGCACGCCAGGCGTCGTCGAGACGAAAGAAGCAGCGGTGTGCCGTGTGGAACCTCCCACAGGTCTGGCCAGTGCGGTCACCTGTGCGGATAAGGTACGGGCAGGTACCTCCACCCCCAGACCCCCCACGCTGAGAGTACCACTCACGGAGCTGCTGGGAGGACGGGGTCTCGCTGGGACGCTGCTGCTGCTGCCTCTGGCCACCACTGAACCCTCCACGCTGCACCGCTCCACCGCGCCCGCCACCAGCTCCACCGCCGCCACCACTACCACTGGGCTGCCTCATGTACCTGATGACCTGCACTCGTCCTGACCTTGCGTACCCTCTTGGCCTTCTGGCTCGCTACGTGGCTCCTGGTCCGCACCGAAAGGTGCACATGGATGCTGCTAAGAGGGTACTACGCTACTTGTGCAGTACATCGGGCATGGGGCTCGTGCTTGGAGGACGGAGCGACGTTGTCCTCACTGGGCACTCAGACGCTTCTTGGGTTGACGACCAGGCTACGCAGCGGTCGTCACAGGGTTACACCTTCAGCCTTGGCTCTGGTTCGGTTTCTTGGCGTTCTACGCGCTCGTCTTCAGTTCTCAGCTCCAGTTGTGAGGCTGAGATCTACGCCACAGCCATGGCTGCACAGGAGTTACGCTGGCTCACCTACCTGCTGACCGACTTGGGAGAGCGGCCTCGTTCTCCTCCAGTGCTGTACGTCGACAACAAGGCCGCCATTGCCTTGTGTCAGGAGCACAGACTGGAGCACAGAACGAAGCACATTGCTCTGCGTTACTTCCTGGCTCGAGAGTTGCAGCAGCGTGGTCAGCTTCGTCTTGCTCACGTGGCCACTCGGGCCAACACTGCTGATATATTCACCAAGGCGCTTCCGTCTGGTGATCATCAGCGTTTCTGCACTCTGTTAGGCCTTGTGCCCACGTTTCCTCACTTACTGTGGACTTTGCTTGTACTGTGATCTATATATACCTGCATGCTTGCTCTGCTAGGTAGAGATCACTGTGCTGTTGTTGTTGCATATATACCCCTGCTTGTGAACTGTGCTTGTGCTCAGTGTGTGTGGTGACGTTGTGATCCACCATGAGCTTGCTTTGCTTCTCTTGACTGGTCTTGTGACCCCTTGCTCTCCCCCACTTTGCCTATGGGGGTGTGTCAAAGCATATGCATGTTCTATATGTGTAGGCTGTAGTGGGGTAGCCAATATAGGGTACAGCCCCTTTTAGGGTTTCATATTTGTACCCAACACTTTCATAGTTCATTCATTCCTGCTGCTAGATTCCGACACATCGCCTCAACACGCGGGACTGCCGAGCCTGAGACACAGAGGCCATCTTCGCGGCAACGCTCAATGCCATCCTCTCCGCTATCAACAGCAGCCTCCCACCCATGTCTGTCGTCCTCTCGGCTGCAGTATCTGCTGACGTTGAAGATGATGATGATCGGTGCCTGGGGTTGAGGCTGGACTTGGAGTTGGTGTCGCAAGATGATGCCCTTTCGGCAACAGGAGTGGCTCTTTTGGATCTCCTCTTGAACCTAGTAGGGTTGATGATGCGGTGGATCTGCCAGGATAATTCCTTCGCTGCCTTTTTCGCCTTGGAAGCAGGAATCTGAGAGAACCTTTCTTTCATTGTCAGCTTCCGGCTTGCAGGGAGCACGGCTTTTGCGAAGCTGAGGCGAGACAGAACCGCCACCTCCAGAACCGCCATGGCCATGGCAAGATCCGTTAGCGCCTGGCAGGAGGACAGAGTAAGAAAAAACATGTCAACTTTCGAATTATCTGCTTAGAACAGTGTAATATATCGCGAGGACGAGATGGAACTCGTGCATGCATCAAGAAACGACGAGGGCCGTAAGAAGAAAGTGAAACAATATGCGAAGCACTTACCAGGCAAGTGACACCCTGGCTGCTACCTCCATAAATGTCCTGCAAGATCTTCGTGAGGTTGCTTCCTTGGTACGAAACGTGCTTCGCAGCAGGGCCGTTGAGTTCCTCAATTACGCGACTGAGCGCGGAGAGCAAGGGGTGGATGTCGCTGCTCTCTGTCATCCTCTGGCCTGTGTTGCCCGTCTCCTTGTTCTTCTCGCGAACTGCACTGTAACAGCAGTTGACTGCTACAATCGCATTAGCAAGACGTTCACCAAATAACGAGTAGCACCTAACAGCATTTCGTAACGGCGACCAATGTTGGCATCATGGTTCACGCACCTTCCAAATCCAAAAGTTTAAGACGGCCAAGAATCTGCGGGTTGTCGTCCTGCCAAACATCAAACTGCAATATAGCGTTCACCGCGGGGTGATGTCCTTGCTTGGCCTTCGAAAACGCCTTGAAGAAGGCTTCCAGAGAGCTGACGCTTTCCTGTAATGTTGTCAGCAAGGAATAAGAATGGCTACAAGTGAAATCCGGAGGAACAGCCGTTGCTCCAAACGTTCAACTTCAATGACAAGAAACAAATTGTTCTTACCTTATGCAGGCCAGAGATGTCAACCTGCTGGCGCTGGAGCAGGTCGAACACCTTGTTTTCGTATAGGTCATAATAAGAAAATGACACGTTGAAACCTTTGCGCTCAAGTATGTTCTCAGCGATCCATTTTGCGCAGAGACATACAAGTCCGCGGTCGTCTTTGCCATCACCCTGCTCCACCGGAGACAGGCATGAGTTGGAAACATTCATGTAGTCATGCACAGAAATTAAATGATCATGTGTACCTGCAGGAGGTGGGACTTGCCACTGCCTGTTGCACCGTAGGCGATAACATTGACGTTGAGACCCTCACAGAGGGACGTGAGGAGTCCTTCGACCTCCTTACTGAAAACGGCTTCACTGTTGTCGGTTTGATTGTAGAGAAAATCAAGCTGGAAGCGTTTTTCGGGCCTGCAGCAAGGTACGGTCAGTCTAGATAAGCTAACAGTTGACTCCTGAATTAACTCTTATACCTGAAACCAAAGAATGGTACAGGCTTCGTGTCAGGAAACTTCAGGATTACGCTGTCCTTGGCAGACTCAATCAACATTTTTAAACCCTCCTGCGGCTGATTCGACGAGATAACTTTAGCAACGACTCTAATTTTAATGTCAGTTCTTCCTCCAGGCAGCACTGAATGTGCCTCCATTGTGCTGGATAGTATGGTAGGTTGCTGGTGTAACGCAAGAAGTTCTATTGTGCGCGTGACTATACCAAGCATGGGTGGGTTGAAATACGAGGAGTTGGAGGACCAATTCCGTCGCTCGCAGCGGAAGACTCCGCCTCGCATCTCTTCGCGAAGACCTCTCACCTTCGCCAGCTGCACCTGTCGCATCGTCGCACGCCACCGATTCGTCGCGCGCTGACATTTTCACAGATACGCCTTCGCGCCGCCATTCCACACCTCCGTGCGCACCTCCGTGCGTACCTCCGCGCGCACTTCCACGCGGATAAATCAGGCAGCACGCTTGCATGCCGCATGCGACTCGTCCGTGGCGGCAGAGGGCAGCGCCGCCGACCACCGTCGCCGCCGGTTGAGGCGCCTCGAAAGACGCACATCCGACGGCACGGACGAGGCGCGCGCGGAGGTGTCTCGTCCGTGCTTCGCGCGAAAGGCGAGCGCGATAGAGGGGTGGCAGGAAAAGTGGTGCACGAAGATGTTGGGATCGCTGATCGCGGCGCGTGCGGAGGTGCGCGCGGAGTTGCGCGTGGAGGTCGTGGGGAGCAGCAATACCGCCCTGAAGTGCGGCGAGATGGGGTCGGGCAAGACCACACAAGTGCCCCAGGTGCGTGCAGTGGTGTGGGAAAGGGCAGGTGTGTGCGGTGGGAGGGAAAGAGCAGGTGTGTGCGGTGGGAGGGAAAGAGCAGGTGTGTGCGGTGGGAGGGAAAGAGCAGGTGTGTGCGGTGGGAGGGAAAGAGCAGGTGTGTGCGGTGGGAGGGAAAGAGCAGGTGTGTGCGGTGGGAGGGAAAGAGCAGGTGTGTGCGGTGGGAGGGAAAGAGCAGGTGTGTGCGGTGGGAGGGAAAGAAGAGCAGGTGTGTGCGGTGGGAGGGAAAGAGCAGGTGTGTGCGGTGGGAGGGAAAGAGCAGGTGTGTGCGGTAGGGGGAGAGGTACATGGGGGTAGCCCTGCCAGCCTTGTGTGTGGCGAGACGGGGTTGGGCAAGACCACACGAGTGCCCCAGGCTCGTGCGATGAGGCGGGTGGGGGAGGCAGGGTGTGGGGGAACCTCCCTTTCCTTGGGCCCCAAACCCCTCCCTCTCCCTAGTTTCTCTATGACGCTAGGTATGGCTCTTCCCTCCCAGGGGTTTATAAGAGAGGGAATCTTCGTGTGTGATGATACAAGTGAGGGAATCTTCGTGTGTGATGATACAAGTGAGGGAATTTTCATCGAAATCACCCCTTCCCCTCACCCTCTACCCCCCCTCCACTCCCCCACCTCACCTTCCCATTCTGTCCCCTTTCTCCTCCCCCTCCCTCCCCCCTTTTCCCCACCCCAGTTTCCAGTCTCTACGAGGCTCAGCCGAGAAGAGTGGCAGTGCTGGCGACGGCCAAGCGTGAGTTTTGATACGCCTCAAAAAGCTCTCTCCCCTCCGTTTCCTCTCCCCCCCTCCTTCCTCTCTTTCCCTCCTCTTCCCCTCCCCCCTCCCCTCCCCTCCCCCCTGTGTCTATCGAGGCACCTCAAAAGGCGGCGACGGTGGTGGGAGGCGCTGCCTTCCGCAGCCACGGACGAGGCGCGGGCAGCATGCTCACGTGCTGCCTGGTTCATGAGCGCGAAGGTGCCTTTTGAGGCGCTTGCCTCTGCCGCCATGGACGAGGTGCCGTCGCCAGGTGAGGTGCACGAAAGGGCGGGCGGGGAGGGGAGGTTGTGCTGGGGAGGGGAGAAGGTGGGGAGGGGCGGGCGTAGTGGGGAGTGGGGCAGGTGGGGAGAGGAGGGCGCAGTGGGGAGGGGGGCAGGTGGGGAGAGGAGGGGCAGTGGGGAGTGGGGCAGGTGGGGAGAGGAGGGGCAGTGGGGAGGGGAGCACTTTGGAGGTGCCTCAGAAGGCGCAATGGACGGGATGCGGGTGCAGTCGTCTCCCGCACTGTCGTCAGCAGCATAGACTTGTGGCTCACCCCATCTTCAATGCCCCTGTGTCGTCTCACGCCACTGTGTGGCTCAATTCCCCTTGATAATGCAATCTTTCCTTCATCGTCGTACCTGGAGTAACCTGAGGGCACGATCCCCCTCCTCCCCCTCTGCCTCTTCTCCCTCTCCCTTTCCATGGACCTCCCTCGCCCAGCCCCTTTTTCCCTTCCCCAGCTGCAGGTGCCAGCAGTGTTGCCGTTGCTGCCAGCAGTGTTGCCATCACCGCCCTCCCTCCCTGCCGACGGTTTGCTCTGCAGCATTGTTGAGGTGACCGCCAGACTCTACAGGCAGGTGGGTGGGGTAGGGGTGGGAGGCGAATGGATGGGGGTGAGTGTGGGAGGGCGGTTGGGGCAGCTTACTAACTGATGCTTGTGAAAGGTACTGCAATAGTGCCACCACTCCTCCTCGCTCCCACTGTGCCGCGCCTTGCATGCTCCCTGCAGCCCTTCCCTACCTCCCCCCGCCCACACTCTCTGGTGAACATCTGTTGCTATCATATGCCAGCTGATCTCAACCCATATTGCTAATCCAAAACTCTTCACACTCTCTTTCACCCCCAATTCCCCTCCCTTCTTCCCCCATCTCCCCCTTATTGGACTCCCTTCATTCACATCCCCTCATTTCACTACCATCCCCCCCTCTTCGTACTACTCCAACTGCTTCACCAATGCTTCCTCCCCAAGTGCTCTGCAGCGCCCCCTTCTCTCTCCTGCCCTCCTACCAACTCCCCTAGAAAGCTCCCACCCCCTTCACCACCTGCACCTTTCCAACTGCTCCACAATTCTGCCCTCCTTCCCACGCACTCTGCATTTTTTGCTAACCCATGTGCGTATCAGCATGTGTGCCCATGTGTGTGGGAGCCCTTACCGCGCTCTTCCCTCTCGCTCACAGGTCACCTCGCAAGGTTGATTACCACGTGTGCCCATGCACCCCCACTGTGCGTGTGCCCCCACGGTCCCGGGAGCAGGTGAGCAAGGCGGCCAAGGGCGGGGAGGCCCCATCGCCCCCATCCGACGCTTTGATGCCACCGCCAGGTCAGTGCCCCCGCCGTCCACCCTCCACGCTCCTGCTGCTGCCCCGCTCGCTCATTATTTCACTCAACTAATGCTGCTGCATGCTGCTGGGACCCACCATTCCTCCTCCTCACCACCATTTCTCCCATCCATCTGCTATCGTAAACATCATCCTCTCGTTTCTCCGCCCCTATGCTGCTCCTCATGCCCCATCTCCCTCCCCAACTCCCTCCTTATCAACCCCCTCCCCCTGTCTCTCTGTGCCCCATCGGCTTCCCTCCAGCTCTTACCACCCCTCAAACCGCATGTGCTCCAAAATTCCTGCCACGCCTTCACCTTCCCCCTTCTTCCTCTCTTCTCTCTTCCTCTCCCCTCCACGTCGCCATGCCGCCCCACCACGCAGGTGAGGGAGGCGCCACGTCTCTCCGCGCCTTCTATGCCGCATTCGTGCACCGCGTGCGACGGGCCTACCAGCCACACCACGTCAAAGGTGCGTGCTTCAGCGCACTCACATCTCATATCAGTGCGTGCGTCACGCCTTCCCTCACCCCACCCACCTGCATCAAGGGTGACAGCATGGAGCAGACTGGGCGGGGGGGTGCGTCCTACACACAGACTAAAAGCCGTGTCTCTCTGCTCCACCCCGTAATCACGCCTTGTGCGCGCACTCTCCCTACATCCACACCTCTCTGTCCCGTTCACCCCGCTCTCCCCCTAGCAACCAGTTCTCTCAATGCTTTACGCTCCCCCACATGCCTGCATGCTTAACCTTCCTGTGTGTGTGTGCCCCCATGCCCCCCTGCCCTGTGCACGCCCACCACAGACGGCATCTTTGGCGCGATGATGGAGGTGAGCGCGGGTGGTAGGAGGCGAATGGTGAGGGGAGGTGTCGGGGAGTGTAGGGATAAGCACGATGTGGTGTGATGGGAGGATCTGGTGATGCATTGGCGCTGTGATGCATTGGCGCTGTGATGCATTGGCGCTGTGATGCAGGCGCATTGTGTGTTGGCATGCATGTGGGTTGTATACCAGCCTGGCAGCCTCACCATCACGCCATCCCTGCCACCATGCCTCTTCCCCCTGCTGGGCGTGCAGGTGCACATCGCCAACAGCCGCCCCGTCACTCCCTTCCTCCACTCGCGCAAGCAGTCCGGCACAGAGGGCAACGGGCACAGAGCGGGAAACTGGAGCAATGGGAGCGATGAGGGCAAGGAGGGGCAACGAGGTGATAGGCACGGCGGGGAGTGAAGGGGGAAAAGGGGGTGGTGCGGCGAGGTGAGGCCCTCCAGCTTGGAGTGGTTCATTGGTGGTCCCAGCTGGTGGTGCCCCGTGCTGTGAGGCACCAACACAGGCACACTAGGGGCTGCAGACGGGGGGGGGGGGTTGGGGGCGCTCGTGAAGCCTGTAGGCAGGCACCGTGGCATGGTATTGCGAGGGGCTGCTCTCTGGGCCGTGGTTCCTTCCCTCCTGCTGCACCCCAGCCTTTCCAAGGAACGTACCGTATCAGACTGGTGGTCGGTGGCAGTGTGGCAGTGTGCCCTGTACTGGCAGTTTGGGCTCACAGCCCTGTATTCGAAATCTCACACTCTGCCATCTCCACTGTATTCCCTGCATTGCCTTGCCGTCCTTCTCCACTCGCCTACCCTCTCCCCCATGTGCTAGCATCACAACCCATTGCTTCCTGCTGCTCGCGTATCACTCTCCCCCCACTTCTCCTCCCTTGCAGTGCAGGTGCGTAACCGGTGTCGCTGCCCCTCGCTGAGGCATGTCCAGCTGGCGACTGCTGCCTCTACCTCACCCATGCCGACGTGAATGCTGCCCCCTGGCCTGGTCCCACACACATCAGTGCACGAACTCGCTTCCCTTTGCCCCCACATTGTGGGTGTGGCTGGGTTGCGCAGTGGGGTGCTGGTTCTGTGCATGCATTGATAATTGTTAGGTATGTTTATTTGGAGAGAAGTCATAGTGCAATTCTTTAGGGGTTGTGTTGTGGTTCAGGGTCGTTGCCAATCCAAACCAACCTTCTCGGTTATGGTTTGCTCTTGTTACTTGTACCATACCTCACAAGAGCTTTGCCAGCATGCTTTCTGGACTCCAGGGAAACTACGATACCGTATGTATATCAATAGCAGCATCCAACATGCTTACACGGAAGACATGGCATTCTCTGTGAAGTCCTCGCGAATCCAGTCTTTGTAACACGTGGCTTGAATTTTGGGCCAATCGTTTCACATGCCTACACTTGCCTTCAAATCAACTCCTACACTTGCCTTCACCACCAGCCAGCCACCCACCATGGAATCATCCCTACACTCCTTCAGACTACACCGTACCTTCCAACCTCCATCCCCCTCTACCTCACCCCCAGCCACCATTGCCAAGTACGGTACACCGTAAGGCCCGAGTTCAGCAGCGCCTTCACCAGGCAGCCTGCTGGGGCAGCGGCCTGGGCGTGGGGGCGTGGCGGGTACGCCTGTGTTGGATCTCCCTGTTGCGATGCTGCACCTTGGTGTGCGGTACAGCACCCGGTCGCTCTGCTGCAGCGTGGCGAGGCGAGGTCCTTGGCGTAGCACACCAGCACACACACCACTGCACTGCCCTGCTCACCACCGCCACGCTCCACTGCACCAGAACGAGCCCACTGCACTGCCCTGCTCACCACCGCCACGCTCCACTGCACCAGAACGAGCCCACTGCACTGCCCTGCTCACCACCGCCACGCTCCACTGCACCAGAACGAGCCCACTGCACTGCCCTGCTCACCACCGCCACGCTCCACTGCACCAGGAGGAGCCCACTGCACTGCCCTGCTCACCACCGCCACGCTCCACTGCACCAGAACGAGCCCACTGCACTGCCCTGCTCACCACCGCCACGCTCCACTGCACCAGGACGAGCCCACTGCACTGCCCTGCTCACAGCCGCCACGCTCCACTGCACCAGAACGAGCCCACTGCACTGCCCTGCTCACCGCCGCCACGCTCCACTGCACCAGAACGAGCCCACTGCACTGCCCTGCTCACCACCGCCACGCTCCACTGCACCAGAACGAGCCCACTGCACTGCCCTGCTCACCACCGCCACGCTCCACTGCACCAGAACGAGCCCACTGCACTGCCCTGCTCACCACCGCCACGCTCCACTGCACCAGAACGAGCCCACTGCACTGCCCTGCTCACCACCGCCACGCTCCACTGCACCAGAACGAGCCCACTGCACTGCCCTGCTCACCACCGCCACGCTCCACTGCACCAGAACGAGCCCACTGCACTGCCCTGCTCACCACCGCCACGCTCCACTGCACCAGAACGAGCCCACTGCACTGCCCTGCTCACCGCCGCCACGCTCCACTGCACCAGAACGAGCCCACTGCACTGCCCTGCTCACCACCGCCACGCTCCACTGCACCAGAACGAGCCCACTGCACTGCCCTGCTCACCACCGCCACGCTCCACTGCACCAGAACGAGCCCACTGCACTGCCCTGCTCACCACCGCCACGCTCCACTGCACCAGAACGAGCCCACTGCACTGCCCTGCTCACCACCGCCACGCTCCACTGCACCAGAACGAGCCCACTGCACTGCCCTGCTCACCACCGCCACGCTCCACTGCACCAGAACGAGCCCACTGCACTGCCCTGCTCACCACCGCCACGCTCCACTGCACCAGAACGAGCCCACTGCACTGCCCTGCTCACCGCCGCCACGCTCCACTGCACCAGAACGAGCCCACTGCACTGCCCTGCTCACCACCGCCACGCTCCACTGCACCAGAACGAGCCCACTGCACTGCCCTGCTCACCACCGCCACGCTCCACTGCACCAGAACGAGCCCACTGCACTGCCCTGCTCACCACCGCCACGCTCCACTGCACCAGAACGAGCCCACTGCACTGCCCTGCTCACCACCGCCACGCTCCACTGCACCAGAACGAGCCCACTGCACTGCCCTGCTCACCACCGCCACGCTCATGCCCGTCTGCCAACACCACACACACCACACACACACACAGGTGATGATGGCGTAGCACACCAGAACGAGCCCACTGCACTGCCCTGCTCACCGCCGCCACGGTCCACTGCACCAGAACGAGCCCACTGCACTGCCCTGCTCACCGCCGCCACGCTCCACTGCACCAGAACGAGCCCACTGCACTGCCCTGCTCACCACCGCCACGCTCCACTGCACCAGAACGAGCCCACTGCACTGCCCTGCTCACCGCCGCCACGCTCCACTGCACCAGAACGAGCCCACTGCACTGCCCTGCTCACCACCGCCACGCTCCACTGCACCAGAACGAGCCCACTGCACTGCCCTGCTCACCACCGCCACGCTCCACTGCACCAGAACGAGCCCACTGCACTGCCCTGCTCACCACCGCCACGCTCCACTGCACCAGAACGAGCCCACTGCACTGCCCTGCTCACTGCCGCCACGCTCCACTGCACCAGAACGAGCCCACTGCACTGCCCTGCTCACCACCGCCACGCTCCACTGCACCAGAACGAGCCCACTGCACTGCCCTGCTCACCACCGCCACGCTCCACTGCACCAGAACGAGCCCACTGCACTGCCCTGCTCACCACCGCCACGCTCCACTGCACCAGAACGAGCCCACTGCACTGCCCTGCTCACCACCGCCACGCTGCACCAGAACGAGCCCACTGCACTGCCCTGCTCACCACCGCCACGCTCCACTGCACCAGAACGAGCCCACTGCACTGCCCTGCTCACCACCACCACGCTCCACTGCACCAGAACGAGCCCACTGCACTGCCCTGCTCACCGCCACCACGCTCCACTGCACCAGAACGAGCCCACTGCACTGCCCTGCTCACCGCCGCCACGCTCTACTGCACCAGAACGAGCCCACTGCACTGCCCTGCTCACCACCGCCACGCTCCACTGCACCAGAACGAGCCCACTGCACTGCCCTGCTCACCACCGCCACGCTCCACTGCACCAGAACGAGCCCACTGCACTGCCCTGCTCACCACCGCCACGCTCCACTGCACCAGAACGAGCCCACTGCACTGCCCTGCTCACCACCGCCACGCTCCACTGCACCAGAACGAGCCCACTGCACTGCCCTGCTCACCACCGCCACGCTCCACTGCACCAGAACGAGCCCACTGCACTGCCCTGCTCACCACCGCCACGCTCCACTGCACCAGAACGAGCCCACTGCACTGCCCTGCTCACCACCGCCACGCTCCACTGCACCAGAACGAGCCCACTGCACTGCCCTGCTCACCACCGCCACGCTCCACTGCACCAGAACGAGCCCACTGCACTGCCCTGCTCACCACCGCCACGCTCCACTGCACCAGAACGAGCCCACTGCACTGCCCTGCTCACCACCGCCACGCTCCACTGCACCAGAACGAGCCCACTGCACTGCCCTGCTCACCACCGCCACGCTCCACTGCACCAGAACGAGCCCACTGCACTGCCCTGCTCACCACCGCCACGCTCCACTGCACCAGAACGAGCCCACTGCACTGCCCTGCTCACCACCGCCACGCTCCACTGCACCAGAACGAGCCCACTGCACTGCCCTGCTCACCACCGCCACGCTCCACTGCACCAGAACGAGCCCACTGCACTGCCCTGCTCACCACCGCCACGCTCCACTGCACCAGAACGAGCCCACTGCACTGCCCTGCTCACCACCGCCACGCTCCACTGCACCAGAACGAGCCCACTGCACTGCCCTGCTCACCACCGCCACGCTCCACTGCACCAGAACGAGCCCACTGCACTGCCCTGCTCACCACCGCCACGCTCCACTGCACCAGAACGAGCCCACTGCACTGCCCTGCTCACCACCGCCACGCTCCACTGCACCAGAACGAGCCCACTGCACTGCCCTGCTCACCACCGCCACGCTCCACTGCACCAGAACGAGCCCACTGCACTGCCCTGCTCACCACCGCCACGCTCCACTGCACCAGAACGAGCCCACTGCACTGCCCTGCTCACCACCGCCACGCTCCACTGCACCAGAACGAGCCCACTGCACTGCCCTGCTCACCACCGCCACGCTCCACTGCACCAGAACGAGCCCACTGCACTGCCCTGCTCACCACCGCCACGCTCCACTGCACCAGAACGAGCCCACTGCACTGCCCTGCTCACCACCGCCACGCTCCACTGCACCAGAACGAGCCCACTGCACTGCCCTGCTCACCACCGCCACGCTCCACTGCACCAGAACGAGCCCACTGCACTGCCCTGCTCACCACCGCCACGCTCCACTGCACCAGAACGAGCCCACTGCACTGCCCTGCTCACCACCGCCACGCTCCACTGCACCAGAACGAGCCCACTGCACTGCCCTGCTCACCACCGCCACGCTCCACTGCACCAGAACGAGCCCACTGCACTGCCCTGCTCACCACCGCCACGCTCCACTGCACCAGAACGAGCCCACTGCACTGCCCTGCTCACCACCGCCACGCTCCACTGCACCAGAACGAGCCCACTGCACTGCCCTGCTCACCACCGCCACGCTCCACTGCACCAGAACGAGCCCACTGCACTGCCCTGCTCACCGCCGCCACGCTCCACTGCACTGCAGCATCCAGCTCCACCCACCTCCGTCAGGTTCAAGTGAGCCCACGGCAGCCAGTCAAATCAATCTTCACTTGTAGTTGACTCCGATCCCTCCTCACTCCTTGACTCCGTGCCCTCCTCACTCTCTGACTCCGATCCCTCCTCACTCCCTGACTCTGATCCCTCCTCACTCCCTGACTCCGATCCCTCCTCACTCCCTGACTCCGATCCCTCCTCATTCATTGACCGAGGTCCCTCTTCAGTCAGTCGCACGAGATTCGTCGGGAGCGAGGGAATGGAGGTGTCACGCAGAATGAGCTGCTGCAGCTGGGAGAGGCACTCAGGGAGGTGACGCAAGGCGGTACAGCCAATCAGCTCCAGTTCGCGCAGGCGACACAAGCGGCTCATGCCTTGAGGTAGTGACGTCAGCGAAAGCCATTCAAGCGTGAGTGACGTCAGCGAGGTCATCTCCAGTACGCCCCCCAACAGCTCCTCTGAACACAATTGAAGCTGCAGATCCCGCAACTGCGGCAACGCTGCCGCCATGTTTTCCGGGGGTGTGCAACCTTCACCCACCGTAGTCGCCAAGTAGCGCAGGTGGGGGAGAACGGGCAGGGGGGTCGGCAACTCCGAACCTTCATGCAGCCACAGACACTCCAGCTGCTCCAGGCACGGCAGCCTCCCACTCTCTGCAGGCCCACAGCACATCCTAACATCATATAGGGTCAGCTCCCTTAGTTGCGTCAGCTGGGTGATGTCAATGACATGGGAAGAGTCTTCTCCAAAGCACCCAAAACTGAGGGTTTGAAGAGAGGGTGGCAGCCTGGTAGGAGGTCTACTGAGCTCCTCACAGTAAATCATCTCCAGCATCTTAAGCCCCACAAGCGCATCCAGCCTCGAGGGTACTTCTGAAAGATAGAAGCAGTGGCTGATCTCCAAGGTTTGAAGCCCAGTAAGCTGTAAGACTGACACAGGTAGCGCGCAGATTGAACTGCCCCAAACCTTCAGCTCCCGCAGGCTGGTCAGCTCCCCCAGGGCTTCCGGCAGCTGGACTTCTGACCCGCAGTCATCCAGCTCAAGGCTGGTCAAGGAAGAGAGCTCTGTGAATGAAGCAGGAAAGGGCTTATCAGTATAAACCAACATGAGAGCCTCCATATTTGTAAGGGCCCCTATGTCTTCAGGCAAGGCAACACTGGTATGGGCGATGCAGAAATTCTTGAGAGCTGTGAGGCTGCTGAAACCTGCTGGCAGCTGGCGAAGCTTGTTGCATCCAGCTAGAAAGAGTGACTCGAGAGATGTGAGCTGGTAGAAGGAAGGAGGGAGTTCCAAGACAGACAAATCTTCCAGCACAAGCAGTTTGAGGGCTGGTAGGTCACCAAAGTTGCTGGGTAAGATACAGAGACCGCACTCATAGAGTACAAGACTTTCCAAACAGCTGAGAGACGCAAAGCTTTCAGGCAGGACAAGAGAACGACACTTGCGAACTGTGAGCTTGCGAAGGCGCGGTAGCAGGACACCGATACGGTCAGGAAGGCTCGTCAGCCCTTGGCACTTGGTAATGAGCAGCTCTTCGAGGCCAGTGACAGGCGATGATGGTGGAAAGATGGTGTCAAACGAAGGACAAGAAACCGCAAAAGTGAGGGACTTGAGGCAAGGCGGCAGCACTATGCTTGCAGAGGGCTGATGCTCCTGGTATGCGGCAAAGGTGGTTAGATGGGTGAGTTTTGGGAGGCTAAAGAGGGTGGCCAGGTGCAAAAGAGTCCAGGGAAAGGTGACGCAGACGGTGGTCAGGGCTTTAAGCTTTGCAAAATTGGGATTCTCCAAGGCCCGTTTGTTGCTGAGAACAAGGGTGCGGAGATTGCTCATATCAAAGAAGGATCCCGGCAGCTCTTCTGTTTGGATAGGGCAGAAGAGGGAAAGTTGCTCTAAGCTAGGGAGCTTCAGGAAGAAGAAATCCAATCCGTCTGCAGAGATGGGATGCTCCTCCTTCCTAATATAATGTTCAAACCTGAGATAATCATCGGGGTCCGCTGCAAAGGATCTTCCCACGTGGAGAGTCGTCAACAAAGGGCATGACAATGCGAGGTGTTCAAGAAAGGCGTCGTTGAGCGTCTGGACGCTGTTGTCGCTGAGATGCAGATGGGTGAGGTGGGGGAAGCACGCGACGGCGGCTGAGAGGTCATCGACAGACACACGAGCGCCCTCCTTGACCAAAAGTTGTGTCACGTGACCCTTCGCCAAGCGACGCCAACGTTGGCAGACAGATGCGATGAGGAGACTCTGAGCCACGTCTGTGTGTGGAGGGGGGGCTGGTATTGGCGTATTGAATCTTAGACCTGCATCTGATCTACTTGTATCATAAGTGTGGCCAAAGAAAGAAGTGAAAGGGGGGGACCACAGGCTACCAATGTAGCAATCCCATGAATCAGGTTGCTTGAACGACCGCCGCAGAATCGCAAGGAGAAGGTCATCCGTTAGACTATCGATGCTCGTCTGAAGCTCCGCCATGCTGATTCAAAGGTAAGGCCTCCAAAACTAGCGGATTATGTGCCAAGGAGCGGCAGGCAATTCAGTTGTGGCTTTGGGAAGCGTCACGAGGGAAAGGAATCAGCGGAGTAGATAGGTACTAACGGAGTGGGTCCAGATCTGCCAAGTAGACTAGCACTCTCCTTCCATGTGCGATCTGCTCATGAGTGGACCAATGATAGCAGGTGGGAGGAGGCAATACAAGGGAGGACAAGGTGATGCAAGTGCAATCAAGGAAGGACGGCGTGTTTGACATAAGAGCTTCTGTCCTCACGACGACACAAGGTTCGACAAGTGATGCAGCAACGGCGCAGGAGAAACCAAATCTGCATGAACGGCTGGTGCGAGAAACATGGGTCACTACTAGGTTCGAATCTGTTCTGCCAAACCAGGAAGAGCCTAGCTTTTCGATTTGCTGACCTATGCTGTTTGTGTGCAGGCATTCTGAATCGAAATCCCGCACGCGTACGTGTCGAACGAGGGGAGGAGGTAGCAAAGACTAGGGTGGGGGAGAATGGCTCCGCTAATCCGCCCCTTCCCTCCCCTGGTCTCGCCGAAAAATGAAAGCTGGGAAGGGGCTTTGGCGAGCCTGGCGAAAGGAGCAGGTGTGTGCGACCATGTGATTGAGGGTGTTTGCGGGGGTTTGGCATTGGCGAAACCGTACCTTATCTGGCGAATTTTGCGATTCGACCTCCACAGCAATCAGGATTCACACGCGGCAGAAACCCAAAGCTGGTCTGGGCTGGCTGGTGTAAAGCCTCGGAAAAGTCTAGCTCGTCTGTCACACACGGAGTGGGAGTGGGTGGAGAAGGAAGGGAGGACTCAAGAAGCATCTTTTCATGTCATCCTCACCACATGCTCGCCTGGTTCTCGCGCAGCTTCACCACGTTGTCAAGACCCAGGCGCCGGGACAACTGAGATGGACACACACAGGGGTTGGGAGGGGCGAGGTTCGTTTGACACATGGCTTCCCGCGGGAATGTTCGCCACAGGTTCGCTGGGTCATCACGTGTCTTCACCACGTTGTCAAGGGCCAGGCGCCGGTAGAATTGACAAGGGGACGAGAACGAATTGGTTAAGCATAGCCTGGGCGCGCGAGGAGAGGGGTGTGTTTGAGAAATGTTTTCTCAAGGCATCCCCACCCCAAGTTCGCCGGGTCATCGAGCCTTCAGCTTCAAAAGGCATCCCCACCCCAGGTTCGCCGGGTCATGGAGCATCTTCACCAGCGTTGTCAAGAATCAGGCGCCGGTCAAACTGACAAGGGGACGGAGGAAAGAAGGGGTTGATTGGGGGTGCGTGCGTGGTGGTGCAAACCGGTTCATTTGAAACAGGTCTTCACAGGCCATCTTCAGCATATGTTCGGTAGGAACAAGAGAGTGGGCCGAGGAGAGCAAGAATCGGAGGGTTTCCTTCTAGACTGGTTAGTTATGATACTACCGCCACGTCAGCTCCCTCCTCCAGCAGTTTGCAAACCAGCTGACGTGGCCGACGGGATTGGGGGTTGATGGCACGGATGGAATGAACACGAACATAAAAATTGAGTAGATAACGAAAGAGATAAGCATATCAATGCGTCTGGAAATATTGTATGCAACATACGAGATTTGGCTCCAAGAGACGCACAAAGGAACAGAGGCACAAAGGGACAGATGCACCACGGAAGATAGGCACACAGGAACAAACGCACACATGGAGAGAAGCACAAAGGAACAGATCGCCAGCCGAACAGAGAAGCACAAAGGAACAGATCGCCAGCCGAACAGAGAAGCACAAAGGAACAGAGGCACGGAGGCACAGCGGCACAGCGGCACAGAAGGGGAGAGGCGATTGTATTACTGCCTGAGCCCAGATCCATTGTGTCTGCCCACCCAGAGCGACTGCTTCGCTCAATGAATCGGAGCCGCGGATTGTATCTGTTGGCCATGAGCGAGATTCGTAACAAACGGCACCGTGGGAGGAACTAAATCCACAGCTTCGCTCAAACCACTCACCGCCGAGCATAGAATTCGCGTGGCAGCAGAGCACCACGGAATGAGGCAGGAACGGAAAGCGTGAATTCCGGCAGCGGTACGCAGAGAGGAATGGCTGATGGACGGCCTGTAGAGGCAACGGAACCGGGGGGAGGGGGGGTACGCATCGAGGAATGGATGGAATCAAGAACGCGAGAGACGTCCGCGTTAGCACGCGGAGGAACGGGAAACGCTCGCATCAGTGCGTGGAAGGCACAATATATCGTGACGGAATGAAGGCGTCCGCGTGACCGTGGTAAGCGAAGCCTAAGGGCTGTGTGTGATTATACATAGGCGTCGCGAATGACACGTAGAAGGAAAATAAAATATATGGCGGTTTATAAAGTGCTTTCAATGTCGTTTTCCTTGCACGGAGGTAATGCCATGACTCGGCGTACACGTAGAAAACTTACTTCAAAGCATACTATGGCGTTTAGGACCAGCTAAACGTTGGTGCGGCCAAGGAGCAGAGGTTTCGCGACACCAAGAAAATAATTGCGCTAATTATGTAACTCTGTGCCGAAGTCGATCGAGTTAAGAGATCCTATCCGCAAGGCGCCACGAAATTTAAATTCCGGAGGGTTGAAAAGCCTGGGTCGAAGTATGGCTGTCAGCGCGACTCGAGAGAAACGTGAGATGTGAGGTAAAATTGTGCTTTGACGAGAAAGATTTGTGAGCGGATGCAACGAGTGCAAGGGGAGTGGGGGGAATGGGGAGTTTTGAAGGTGTTTGAAGAGGTTGTCCCCGCAAAAAGAAAACGTTTTTGCGGTTTTGATGGGTTCACCCTTCGAGGTCTACACTGAGTAAGCGAGGCTTACTCCCCCAAAATGCTGGAGTAAGCGGAGTCCCTTCGCGGAGCCCCGTGTAGGAAACTTTCTGAAGGGCCACTTCAAGCTTACTCGGAGTAAGGGGGCTAACGATCAGGGCGCCAGTATGCAAGTCTAAAAAACAAAAAAATGGACAAATGTGCAAAAGTGCATAGGTGTGCCACAAACACAGCTGTAACCAGACAAACACAGCTGTAACCAGACTAAAGTACAGCAACAGGATAAACGCTGCTACAGCAGCACCTATTTTTGAATTCCCACAAGGAAAGGATACGTTGGGAATGTCACACCGAGATAGCTATGCATCACATGCATATGCAACAAGAATTTATTACACAGCATGCTGTTACGGTACGTTTGTCGCAAAAATATGTCCACCCTACACCTCATGGCATGGCACAGCACGACCCCATGGCATAGTAGCATGGCATGTGAGAGGCGGGAGCAGGGCGGGGAGCGCACATGGTGGAGGAGATACTCTTCCAGCAGGTTGACTCCCTTGTGCTGCAGCGCTGACACCATCAACACCCTGCCACGAGGGGAGGGGAGGGGTGGGGTGGGGTGGGGTGGGGTGGGGTGGGGTGGGGTGGGGTGGGGTGGGGTGGGGTGGGGTGGGGGTGATGGGTGAGGGCATGGATGGCACTATGGGCAGGTTGACGCCCCTGTGCTGCAGCGATGATACCCTGCCAGGAGGGGAGGGGTGGGGTGGGGTGGGGTGGGGTGACGATGGGTGACGATGGCATGGATGGCAGTATGGGGCTGAGAATACACAGGGCGTAAGCATGGTGAAGGCATGATCAGAATCGAATACAGGGTGGATGAGCATCGTTATGCACTCGGCCTGGACCCTCAACCCTCAACCCAACCCTCCTGCATCCCAAGCGTCCAATCCTATGCCCCCTCAACCCCCTATGCCCCCACGCCACTACCTCCCCCCGTGCACCCAGCGCCCCCACCCCACCCACTCCCCTCCCACTCTGCCCCCCACTCTGCGCACCTTCCGATGAAGTGGAGCGTGCTGAGCTCCTGTGTGAGCGGCGCTTGTCCTTCACCAGGTCCACCTTCACCAGGTCCACCTTCACCAGGTCCACCTTCACCAGGTCCACCTTGCTCACCACCGCACCGCTATGCGCTGCTGCCCCTCCCTCCGCTATGCCCCCACCACTCCCACCAGCCGTCGCACCCGCGGGTCCGGCCTGCAGGTGTGGAGTGCGGTGGGAAGGGATGGGGTGGTATGGGATGGGTTTGTGGGATGAGGTGGATTGTTGGGATGGTTAGTTTGGACTGGGATGGGATGGGATGGGATGAGATGGAGAGAGATGGGAACATTCTGCGATGGGGTGCTACCCTCTCTTTACCAGAAGCAGGTGGGGGAAGTCTTGGTCCTGGACAAGAGGGAAGGACTGTGAGTGAGGAAGAAGGGGAGAACAAGAGCAAGGAAGAGTGGGGGATGATAAACAACCAAAGCCCCACAGCCAATGCTTCAGCTACAGTCACCATAGCGCGACCGCTCACCATAACGCGCGCCGGGTCACCATAGCGCGCCCAGTCACCATAACGCGCGCCGGGTCACCATAGCGCGCCCAGTCACCATAACGCGCGCCGGGTCACCATAACGCGCCTGGTCACCATAACGCGCCCGGTGGCGAGAGGAAGTGGTAGGAGGAGGAGGTGCCTTGCGACGGTTGAGCACGTTGGGGTGCAGCCCCCAGGTGACGAGCGACAGGCATCTGGGCTGGCTGCTAATCCACGTGATGCGCATCGTCACCGCGCCCGCTGATGCACTCGCTAGCGACACGCGCACCTTCCACGCGCATGCACCGCACACAGACGAGGCAACGGGCCTGGGGAGAATTATCGGCCGCCTTGAAGTGTGCGTGCACGAGGCATGCAACCGAGCTGCTTTCACCCACCCTCATGCCGTGCAATTCCTCACACTTGTGGCTGCCCACACGCGACCTGGTCTTTTCTCTTCCCTCCTCCCTCGCTACCCGCCTAGCCGGAGAGCTCAATCATTACGACGGAGCAAAAATGGTGTGCTTGCATGGTGGCAACGCACCCACCCCGACGCCCCAGACGCACTTATCAGGCTGGTCGTAAGAGCTGTATCAAGGCGCGGTGAGAGGCGGACGCAAAGAAGCAGGCGGAGGCGGAGGGGAATGCAGCGGTGCAGGCGGGCGCAGCGAGGGAATGATGGGAGGGCGACAACAGTAGAATCAGAACTAGGTCGAACGTAACGAGCTGCACTCACGACGCGAATTCACGACGCCTCTTGGCCATGCCTTGAGAAAGTGCCATGAATGCTTCAGGATCGCTAGGAACGAGATGGGGTAGGAGGGGTAAGGAGGGCGCCAAGGGACGGACGAAGGGTGTGGTCAAATACAGGGGGTAAAGGGGGCTGGGAGAGCGGGAGGAGGAATCCAGACGAGATGTTAGGAGGACGAGGGACGGGGGGATGGGGAGGGACATGTAATAAGGAGGGTGCGGGGATTAATAGACAGACGGGCAAGGGATGGGGAAAGGAAGATGGCGGTCGGATGCAGCGATAGCAGGATGGTGAAATGAGGGAGGAGCAGAAATATTACTGGTGGAGGCTTGCAGCGGCATGGGGTGGGAGTGTGGCCCACAGCAGGTGGGTGTGTCGCTGAGAGCACTTGAAGGTTGGTGAACTTGCTCCAGGAATGAGGAGGCGGGCCTTGGAAGTGGTTATTGCCCAGTAAGCTGGTGGGGTGGGGGGGGGAGAGAGAAAGTGAGGATCGTTGGTAAGGTGTAGGGTTGATGGGGGGATGATGGAGTGTAGAAGGGTGAGTGAGTGAGGAGGAAGTGTTCGACATTGAAAAAATGGAAGAAGTAATACAGGGAGTAAAACGCGTGCAAGTGAGGTAAAGTCAAATCAAGCAGAGCACATTGTCAAGAGTGTCAGTGAGATGGTAAGTTGGCGGGAAGACGCCTGTGTGCTCCTGCATCAAAACAGCCGGAGCGCATGGGAGGAAGTTCCAAGGTGGGGCCAGGGTGACCGCGGAATGGTTGGCTTGAGAAACACTACGCCGGGAAAGCAGCAGAGAAAAGAGCAGCAAGAGCCCGTAGGTTTTATGCTAAAACGAACAGGAGACAGCAGAGGAGGGAAGCTGTGTAGAGCAAGCAAGCAAGCACCGGGGGAAGAAACAGCAGGCAAAGAAGAAACCAGCACGCAAGCACACGACTCGTCTCCACCACTGACCGGGTTCTCCACGGCCTTGTAGGGCGAGTCATCGAGCAGCAGCGTGTTGGAGGGGCCGTACGTGCCGGACGGCCATGTCAAGTCTCCGTGCACGTTGCCCCACACGTGGCTGAGCTCCTTGAGGAGGATGGGCTTGCGGCGGTTCGCGGGGTGCTTCAACCCCGTCTTCGTGCACCGCTCTTGGTCCTGGTGGCGTGGGGTCAGGTGGAGTGGTGTGGCATGATGTAATGTGTAGTAGTGTAGTGGGGTGTGGTGTGGTTGGGGAGTGGGGGAAGTTTGGGTGATGGAGCAAGAGGCAGGGATGGCACCACGTGGAAGTGGGGCAGAGGATGGGGGTGCACAAGGGGCGGCAGGCACAGCCTGGGCATCTGGCCCGACCCCACCCGACCCGACCCGACCCGACCAGACTTGGCCGGGCCAAGCGGGTTTCCGGGTCGGGTCGGGCTAGCCCCGGGCCAGGATGTTGAATACTCTGACCTGACCAGGGGGTACAGGGCTGGGTCAGGCCTGACCCGACCCGCTCCCGCTTGCGCTCTGTGCAGATCGGCGATTTCGCCTGCCGATCTGTGCAGATGCATGAAACGACAGCGAGTGGCACAGTGGCACAGGAATACCATCAGGTCACGCGAGTGCCATGCGGATAAGGGGCACCCTGGCTTGACATCATGAGTTCTGAGAAGATGGAACTCCACTTCCCTCCCCCCCTTCCGAAGGGCGGTCACAGGGCAACCCAGCCACATACGACTGACTGACTGGGAGCAAACGTGATGCGTGTGCGCATGGGGCATTGGGGCCTGCGTAGTGCGTACCCAGATGAATGCGAGCTCGCCCCGGCGCTCCTGTGGGAAGACAAACTCCAGCAGCGCACACACGTTGTACCTGGTTGGTTGATGCGCGTGCGTGCGTGCACAGGGGGTGGCCGCACAGGAGGGTGCAGAGGGGATAGATTCATGCAGCCAAGTCTTTTACCGACTCAAAAAAAGGCAGCAGAGAAATGCAGTCATCCGTGCAAACATATATGGTGACGCCACAGAACACAAGTGCAAGACATATGTTCTATGCATCCTGCACTTGTTCAAAGTATGGTGGGTGGGTGGTAACCCATGCGCCATGCCTCACGAACCATGCCCCATGCTCCATGCCATGCCCCATGCCCCATGTCCCATGCTCCATGCCCCATGCCCCCATGCCCCATGCCCCCATGCCCCCATGCTCCATGCCCCCATGCTCCATGCCCCCATGCCCCCATGCCCCATGCCCCCATGCCCCATGCCCCCATGCCCCATGCCCCCATGCCCCATGCCCCCATGCCCCCATGCCCCATGCCCCCATGCCCCCATGCCCCATGCCACCCGTCCCCTGACCCCTGCCCCCTGCCCCCCCCTTCCCTGCCTCCACCCCCCCCCCGCCCCCTGTGCCCGCATGCTCACATGCGGGAGGAGGACCACACGGCGACCACGAAGTTGTCCAGGCAGAAGCGAGCGAACTCCTCACAGAACGGCCGCCGGTACACTGCAGGGGGGGGGGGATGCGGGCAGGGGCGAGAGGTGGGAGAGACGGGGGGGAGGAAGGTGGGGGAAAGGGGAAAGAGAGGAGAGGTGGATTGTTAGGGGAAGGAGAGGTGAGGGCGGATGAAGAGGCTGACAGGATTTGCAGCGGCGCAGAGAACATCAAGGCTCTCAATGGTGGAAGGTGGGGGATTGGTTGGAAGCGTAATCTGAATGTAAAGCAATTGTGATCGGAGTTGCAGTGCACGTAGTAGGGAGCACAGGGCGCCGGGCGCAGGGGGCAGGGGGCAGGGTGAGGGGGGCAGGGGGCAGGGTGAGGGGGGCAGGGGGCAGGGTGAGGGGGGCAGGGGGCAGGGTGTGGCATGTGATGACGACAGAGGGAGCACCAAGTGCGAGCAGCAGATGCTGCTCTGAGCGGCCCTTGCGTGCACGGTGCGCACCATGGAAGTTGTTGGCGCGGCCGTCTGGTAGCCGCTGGCCTGGCGGAGTGCCATCGCGCACATAGCACGTGTCCACCAGCAGTCCGTTCACGTCCACAATCAACAGCTTCTTCCTCCTCTCCTTCCCCTTCTCCTCCTCCTTCCCCTCTGCCTGCTCCTCTGCTCCCTCCTCCCCGCCCTCGGCCCCTCCCTCTTCCACTCTATCCTCCCCTCCCTCTTTCTTTCCCTCCTCCTCTCCATCTTTCCTTCCCTCCTCCCCTCCCTCTTTCCTCCCCTTCTCCCCTCCCTTGTTCTTTCCCTCATCCCCTCTCTCTCCCCTTCCCTCCTCTCCTCCCTCTTTCCTTCCCTCCTCCCCTCCCTTCTCCCCTGCGTCGTCCCTTCCCTCCTCATCTCGTTCCTCCCCTCCCTCGTCCCTTCGCTCCTCACCTCCCTCTTTCTTTTTCACATCTGACAACTCCTTCCCGCCGTCCGTCCCCTCATCCCTTCCACTCTCACTCCCCGCCACTGCGCCCCTGTCCTTACCATCGCCCTCTTGCTCTTCCCTAATGCTTCCTCCCCTCGCCTTACTTCCTGCTCTGTCTCCCTCCACTGGTTCTTGCAATAACGCGCACTCTCCAGCGCCACTCTCTCCTACACCGCTCCCTCCCACACTGCTCTCTTGCAAATGGCACTCCCTTTCACCTTTCTCTTGCACAACTGCCTTCGTCTCCTCATTGCCCTTGACTCCCTCGACTCTCATCACTTCCTCACACCCTTCATTCACCAACCCACCAGCGCCCGCATCCTCTTGCTGCCCCTCTTGCTGCTCCTCTTGCTGCCCGTCTCCTGCCGCTCCGCTTAAACCCGTCTCCTGCCAGCAGCAAGGGACAAACAAGGGCAGCTCATACCTCTTCCTCATTGGTGTTCCCCGCTCTCCAACGGTCCTTCGTATTAGTAGCAGCAAGGGACAAACAAGGGCAGCTCATACCTCTTCCTCATTGGTGTTCCCCGCTCTCGAACGGTCCTTCGTATAGTAGCAGCAAGGGACAAACAAGGGCAGCTCATACCTCTTCCTCATTGGTGTTCCCCGCTCTCGAACGGTCCTTCGTATTAGTAGCAGCAAGGGACAAACAAGGGCAGCTCATACCTCTTCCTCATTGGTGTTCCCCGCTCTCTGACTTCCGCCATCCAAGATGTCTCCTGCTGGTGCTGCCGCTGCAGCTGCGCGTGCTGCTGGTGCTGCCTCCACAGCATCTGCTAACGCCTGCTCTTTTGATGCTGCCGCTGCTTCTGCTGCTTCTGATAATGCTGCAGCTTGCTCTGAGGCCGCCACCTGCTGCAGCAGCATGCCCACCTTCGCCTCCGCCGCTCCACATCGCTCCTGCTCGCTCTGTAGCGCCTCCTCCAACGCCCTCCTCCGGTGTTCAAACTCCCCCTCCTTCTCCTTCCAAGCAACTTCCATCTCCACCTTCTTTCGCCGCATCCCCTCTACCACTTCCTCCGAATCCCTCTTCTGCTCTTCCAGCGCCCTCATCTTCACCCTCTCAGCATCTGCTGCCTCTGCCGCCTGTCGCTCAGCCCTCGCCCTCTCCTCCTCCACCCCCTTCACCTGCCTTTGTGCCACTTCCAGTTCTGCCCGCAGCTGTGCTGCTTCCCCTGCGCCTTGCTCTGCTGCAGCCTGCAGCAGCACCTTTTCCTTCTCCCACGACTGAACCTTCCGCTCCAGCTCCACCTGCTGCGCCTCCAGAGCTCTCTTCTGCCCTTCCAGCTCCTCCACCTTCTCCTTCCCAGCAGCCTCCATTGCCACCTGCTTGCCCTTCATCCTCTCAACCTCCTCCTCCAACGCTCTCTTCTGCTCTTCCAAGACCCCCTCCTTCTCCTTCCCAGCAGCCTCCATTGCCACCTGCTTGCCCTTAATCCTCTCAACCTCCTCCTCCAACGCTCTCTTCTGCTCTTCCAAGACCCCCTCCTTCTCCTTCCCAGCAGCCTCCTTTGCCACCTGCTTGCCCTTCATCCTCTCAACCTCCTCCTCCAACGCTCTCTTCTGCTCTTCCAAGACCCCCTCCTTCTCCTTCCCAGCAGCCTCCAGCTCCACCTGCATTCTCCTCATCCGCTCCATAGCATCTTCCAGCACCTTCCTCTGCTCCTCCAACGCCTGCTGTTTCTTCCTCCCTGCAGCTGCTGCCTCCGCCGCGTCTTCCGCAGCCCTCGTCTTCTCCTCCATCAAACTCACCACCTGCGTCTGCGCCGTTTCCAGGTCTGACTTGATCTCTGCTGCCTCCCTAGCGACCCTCTCCTTCTCAGCTGCGGTCCTCGCCAGCTCTGCCCGGCATGCCTGCAGCTCCAGTGCGAGCACTGATTCCACCTGTTGGGATGCCGTCGCCTGCAGCAGAAGCACGCACGCACAGCAGGGTTGCACATCAATGGGATGCACAGCTAATTGCTATAGAAAAAATCAGCGGCAGTCACTTGCCAGGTAGGTGCTCATTTCTGCATCCCTTCCCACTCACCTCAGCGGCCCTTCCCACTCACCTCAGCGGCCCTTCCCACTCACCTCAGCGGCCCTTCCCACTCACCTCAGCGGCCCTTCCTACTCACCTCAGCGGCCCTTCCCACTCACCTCAGCGGCCCTTCCTACTCACCTCAGCGGCCCTTCCCACTCACCTCAGCGGCCCTTCCCACTCACCTCAGCGGCCCTTCCCACTCACCTCAACGGCCCTTCCTACTCACCTCAGCTGTCCTTCCTACTCACCTCAGCGGTCCTTTCCACTCACCTCAGCAGCTCCTTCCGCGAGGGATTCAGCGGCCGTGGCTCTCTTGCCCTTCCTCGCCACATTCTGCTCCGCCTGCCTCTCCGACTCCTGCGCCCTCTCAGTGGACCGCGTGGTGATGCGCTCCTGACGATAGGTGCCCTGGTTCTCTGCAGTACAAAGGGGGGCAAGAGTTCGTACACAAACAAGAACACACGGTTGAAAACACTGACTCGATCATAGCATCTCTCCCTCTCCATTCAATCCCATCCCCACCTGTTCCTCTTGCTCCGCCTCCGCCTCCCGCTCTCTCCGCCAATCTTCGACTCCTCCTTCTCACTTCCGCCGGCCCTGCATCTCGTAATCGCAACCCGTCGTCATCATCCACTCCCTCGCTCTCCTCCCTCACCCTCTTGCTTCCACTAGCCCTGCTCTTCTTCGTTGCACTCTTTAGTTTGTCTGCCCCTTTGCTTCGCCCCGCAATTCCACGTTCGCCTTGTTCCCCAATTGCCTCTGCACCCCCCTCTGCACCCCCCTCTGCACACCCCTCTGCACCCCCCTCTGCACCCCACTCTTCTCCACCCTCTGCCGCCTCCTCTGCAACCCACTCTGCTCCACCCTCTGCCCCCCCCTCTGCCCCCCTCTCTGCCTCCATCTCTGGCCCCTCCTCTGCTTCCCGCTCTGCGCCCCCTTCTGCGACCCACTCTGCTCCACCCTCTGTCCATCCCTCTGCCCCCCCTTCTGCACCTCCCTCTGCCTCCATCTCTGACCCCTCCTCTGCTTCCCCCTCTGCGCCCCCCTCTGCCCCGCAGCGCTCCACAGTGGCAAGGTCCAGGTGGAGGTAGGAGGAGTACTTGCGCTTGCTCTCCTCCTCTCTAGCCTGTGGGCGAAACGGACGATAGAAAAGTCAATGATATAAGGGGCATACAGAAGGGAATTCAGGGCTCCACGGTGGTCCATGATGACGTGGCTCCTACACGCGTGTGCGCCACAATCTGAATGTGCATTGAATGTTCACAACTCACAATCTCATGGTCCACGAATAGGTGGTTTTCACGCGTGTAGGCCTCCAAAATCTTCAGTTTTGTGTCATCCCGCCCCATGGACCTCAAATCCTGCAGCGTCACCGAATCGACCGGGAAGAATGCTAACATCGCCCCAAACACCGGCGCCATACTCTCCACCATCGTCCTGTCCGCCAGAGGCAGCTCCCGCACCCCTTCCCCATAGAACTCCACAAATTTCCCCACCACGCCGTGTTCCCTCAGCATCTGCGTGCACGTCGATACCAGATCCGTGGCCGTGACTCCCGCCTGGAACTTCCCCGTGAGTTTGAAGCCCACGACGAGGGGAAGGACCGAGTGCAGGACCGCCCCGGGCAGAAGTGCTTCGGGTTCCATCATGGTGGTGCCGGAGGAGGTGTAGACGGAGCTGGAGGGGTAGAACAGCCAGCTGTCCATCGCCACCGGGTGCTCCAGATCCACCTGCGTTCGGGACATAAGCAAGGTGATTTCATTCATTACTCAGAGCTGGCGGAGTAGAGCAGCCAGTTGATGTCCATCACCACCTGCGCCAGGTATTTGGGGGAACGAGGGGAAGGAAGGGGGGGAGGAGAGGAAGGGAAGAGGGGACAGAACCAGCTTTGAGGCGCTTCAGAAGGCTCAGTGCGTTGGTCATCCCTGCGAATTCCACCTGCACCGAGTGGTCGACCACCTGATCCACAAGCACCTGGTGGGAAGTGGATGAAAATTACACGTGAGAAACAGCGTCGATGAATGGAATCGCGTGATGGCTATGGTAGTTAGCGGCCACGTGTTCACAAGTTTCACGAGGAAGAAGGACGGGTCATTGGAGTGCTGCTGCTAGCACTAGGCTCAGTGGCGAAAGCAGTGGGTGATGGCAACCAAGCAGAGAGGCTGCCGTCGAGCATTAGTAGAAGCTCCGAAGGCGTCTGAGGCGCCTCCGAAAGCTCAGCGCTTCGGACGTTCCTGTGTAGTTCAACGCGGCTCAGAAGGAGCACACCAGGTTGGACCATTCACTCGAGACGGTATCATATCTTGTGAATCCGCGAAAGCGTGAGATAAGGTAGGGTAAGGGTCGCATTGGGTCGAAGAAAATCTAACATTAGTCGGAAGATTGAAACTCACCTGCGGGTGGATGGCAGAAGGATCCGCGCTGGATTCTTCCATGGCGCCCATCATCCCAGCAATGTCCCCAACAGCAGGAACGCCAGTAGCATCCTGGCCAAACAGTACAGCAACATACATTGCCACGCACAATCGTAGGCCATGATTCAACGCACATGCACACGCACACACCCATACACACACACACACACAGACACACACACACACGCGCGCGCGCACGCACGCACGCACACACGCACCAACGCACCCACGCACAAAGCTACCAACACACTTCCATCCCCCTCCCCGCCTTACGCATCCACCAGTTGTGAACGACGGTGGTGGCCGGATCTAGGTCTCGGCCAAACCTGGCTGCAAACTGACGGGGAAAAGCACCCACCCTTCCATCCCTCTCCCAACCACCCACCCACCCACCAGTCACCCCTCTATCCTCTCCCCACCACGCATTCACCAGTTCTGCACAATGGAAGTGGCTGGATCCAGGACTTTGCAAGCACGGCTATGTGCAGAAGACAAGCACCCCTGTATCCCTCGTCCATCTTCAGGTCTTTGCAAGCGAGGAAGCGCGAGTACCTGAGGCTTGGTGTGGGCAGCAGCAGCAGTGAGCGCATCAGCACGAATGCACACAAGCTGGGCGCCCTCCATGCTCTCCGCGCTGCTGCAAAAGAACCTCGCTGCTGCTGCTGCGTAGGTGAGCAACTAAACGAACCTGAGGCTTGGTGTCGGCAGCAGCGGCTTGCGGGAGTGAGAGCATCAGCAGGATGTACACAAGCTTGACGCCTATATGCTCACCTTGCTGCTGTGTGTGTGCTTCACACCTAAACATAACACAAGCACCTTGCTGACGTGCGTATATGTGAGTGAGTAAGCAGTTGTAAGCGCGAATACCTTGGGCGTGGTGTCAGCAGTAGCAGCAGTGAGCGCATCCGATGGGATGTACACAGACTTACCGCCCTCCTTGCTCTCCTCGTTCCTATACGCCACCATCACTGCTGTGTGTGAATCTCGCTGTTGTGAGAGAGCGATACCTGAGGCGTACAGTCAGCAGTAGCAGCAGTGAGCGAATGAGCAGGAACGTACACAAGCTTGGCTCCCTCTATGGTCTCATCGTGCTTACGCACACCCACCAGTTCTCCAGGATGGTGGTGGCTGGATCCAGGTCTCGGCCAAACACCTTGAGCGGCTCCTTCCTGCCCATAGGTGGGGAGAGCAGGTGGTGAGAGGATGTGGGTGGGGGCATGTGTGAGAGTATGCGGAGAGAAGGACAGAGGAGGAGGATGCATGGTATGGGAGTGGGAAGAGATGTAAGGGAGAGGAGAAAAAAAGAGAGACGAGGTGAGTGGAACAGCCAAGTTTGATGGGGGAAGAAGGTGTGCGTGTGAAAATGGTATTGTGGAAGATGAGACGTGGTTGGGTGCATAGTCTTGCAAGTGCTGAGGCCATGTGGGAGTGCAGGGGTATGGGAGAGCAGGGTGACATTAGAGTCCAAAAACACAGTCGACAGAAGGGGATTCAGCAAGCGTTCAACCAAAGGAAATGGCATCACGGGACAAAGCGTAGATTCAAAGGCACTTTTGACTGAACGTAACGAAAATAAAATATTATCAAAGAATATATATATATATACTAACATCCTGGATGGAAGGAATCACGGCTTGGAGCTGGGAAGCGTTGGCCCAGTCCAGAATCTTCTCAACGTCCGCCGCCGTGACCTGGACGTTGTCGCAGTTGCGAATGGTGGCTTCGAGAAGGTACCGGATAGAAATCGGCAGCCCTTCTGCATAAACCAGGAATTAGGTAGAATTAGAACGATTGAACGAAAAGAAACTCGACTGGAAATAAAAAACGAGGTGAATCTGACAATTATAGAAAGACGTACGGATCCGAGGGTCTTCCAGAGCGGGTAGGCAGTAGAAGAAGCCAAAGAAGCCGCCATCGGGATTCGGCAGCTCCTTTAGCAAGTGCAGGTACGGGATCGGCATGGTTCTGCAAACACATAACACTATCGCCAGACTCAATCAAGCTTCCGTTAGAGAAACTTCCAGTGATGACGGAGCACAGAAATATACCAAGCGGATCAGAATGTCAAGCGTATTCAGGCAGAATATCAAAATGTATGTAAATCAATGTCTTTGGCGTGGTTATCAGGAAGGGATCTAAGCATCCCGCAAGTCACAAAATGAGTTGGTGTATGTCTGATTCCTGCTGCCTGAATCTCTTCTGATTCACGCCGATGACCGATGTTTTCAAGTAGAAGTGCTCGAAACTATGCAGCAAATCTTTTTCGAATGTAAAGACCCCCCCTAGTCACGGCAGCCCTACATCGTTCTGCCACGCGACACTTACCTGGTACTTTCGCGGAGGAAGCTGTGTTTTTCCCACCCGCGCACCCTGCTGGAAATATCGCCCCCTGGTGCCTTCTGGTCGGTGCGGCTGCTCACACCCTCTGGCGAGACAGATGCGACCGGGTGTTCGAGACGCAGACCCCGGATCACAGTGATCACAGTGGTGCTCTACATCGAATGCTCTCTCTGATTCTATCAGCCTGCAAGGTCGACTTCGCTCGAAGGCATTGGTGGTCCGAAAAGCGGAAACGCCGTTAGAAAAATCGTGTACAGACCGTCGCCTCCCTTCGGCTCCTAACCTTCTACGCCTAAGGAATACCTTCGATTTACCTGGCGCTACGTGAATCCTGGCTCCTAAACGACCTACAAGAAACAAGGCGTGGCCACACAGGCTCCCTGTGTGTTTGTCTGCGGACTTGAAAATAACGCCTGAATCTCTTCTGGGTTGGGTGTGAAAAAACAATGACAAAATACGCAGCAGACCTAGGAACGGATGGCTTGCCCTGCTGGACAGCCATGACAACCTCCATGACAACCTCGGGGCTGCCATGGATTCTGTCGTGTCGCTGTCAGAGTGTTATTTCTTCTAGTTCAAATCGAGCTGAGGCATCGGGTGGAGTTGCTGGCAAATCAGTGACCAATGAAATGGCCTGGCTCGAGCGGTGCGTGGACAACATTTTGCGACCAGTCAATGTGTTCGCGTGCAAAACATCCAGCCCAATTCAGTTGTACAGCTTGCATTCTGGGTCAGTATGCAAACGAGATTGCTAAGGACGCGAAAGTATAATTCCAGTATTAGAACAGATTCGAAATAAATATTGCATGCATGAATGTCCTTGTATTTCAACATATTTAGTGTAAATGACAGCCAAGTCTATATATCAATCAGATATACGATTTAGTTTGGGATTCTATACGGTACTTCAATACACAAGCCTAAATCGAGCTACTCCGCTGCCAACACAATATCAGCTCCAACGGCCCCTGCAACAAGTTATCAGTTCCTCGCGGATCGCGCGCGCCTTTCCCGCCCTTCTTTCCCACGCCAGCTGTGAACTTTCGCTGCGAGAGGAGCAGGGCAACGGTTGGGGCATGTGAGGCAGAGGAGACGGCGGAGCGCGGGCTCAGCGAGGTCGATGAGTGCGCTCTACGCGCACTCCACTTCCCTAATGATCCGTCAACCTCCTCCTCTTCGCCATCCCGCGCGCTCTTTCCTCGCCGCCTTCCCGCCAATCGCCATGCACTCCGCGGAAGGATCCGCACATGTGCAGGAAGTGCAGCGGGCGCTCTTCATTCGCGAGCGCCGATGACCGATGATGCTCGCAACCCTCCCACGCCCTTGCTGGCTTGGTAATAGGCCCAGACAAGCGCGGCCACGGGACCCGGCGGAAGAAAAACGCTCGGAACGAGCGCTTCCACCCTCAAAACCCCAAAGGATCCGCACATGTGCAGGAAGTGCAGCGGGCGCTCTTCATTCGCGAGCGCCGATGACCGATGTTGCTCGCGCAACCCTCCCACGCCCTTGCTGGCTTGGTAATAGGCCCAGACAAGCGCAGCCACGCGACCCGGCGGAAGAAAAACGCTCGGAACGAGCGCTTCCACCCCAAAACGCGGAAGGATCCGCACATGTGCAGGAAGTGCAGCGGGCGCTTTTCATTCGCGAGCGCCGATGACCGATGATGCTCACAACCCTTTCACGCCCTTGCTGGCTTGGTAATAGGACCAGACAAGCGCAGCCACGTGACGCGGCGGAAGAAAAACGCTCGGAACGAGCGCTTCCACCCCCAAAACGCGGAAGGATCCGCAAATGTGCAGGAAGTGCAGCGGGCGCACTTCATTCGCGAGCGCCGATGACCGATGATGCTCCCAACCATCCCACGCCCTTTCTGGCTTGGTAATAGGCCCAGACAAGCGCAGCCACGTGACACGGCGGAAGAAAAACGCTCGGAACGAGCGCTTCCACCCCAAAAACGCGGAAGGATCCGCACATGTGCAGGAAGTGCAGCGGGCGCTCTTCGTTCGCGAGCGCCGATGACCGATGATGCTCGCAACCCTCCCACGCCCGTGCTGGCTTGGCTCGGTAATAGGCCCAGACAAGCGCAGCCACGTGACCCGGCGGAAGAAAAACGCTCGGAACGAGGGCTTCCACCCCCAAAACGCGAAAGGATCCGCACAGGTGCAGGAAGTGCAGCGGGCACTCTTCATTCGCGAGCGCCGATGACCGATGATGCTCCCAACCCTCCCACGCCCTTGCTGGCTCGGTAATAGGCCCAGACAAGCGCAGCCACGTGACCCGGCGGAAGAAAAACGCTCGGAACGAGCGCTTCCACCCCCAAAACGCGGAAGGATCCGCACATGTGCATGAAGTGCAGCGGGTGCTCTTCATTCGCGAGCGCCGATGACCGATGATGCTCGCAACCCTCCCACGCTCTTGCTGGCTTGGCAATAGGCCCAGACAAGCGCAGCCATGCGACCCGGCGAAGAAAAACGCTCGGAACGAGTGCGTCCACCCCCAAAACGCGAAGGATCCGCACATGTGCAGGAAGTGCAGCGGGCGCTCTTCATTCGCGAGCGCCGATGACCGATGATGCTCGCAACACTCCCACGCCCTTGCTGGCTTAGCAATAGGCCCACACAAGCGCAGCCACGCGACCCGGCGGAAGAAAAACGCTCGGAACGAGCGCGTCCACCCCCAAAACGCGGAAGGATCCGCACATGTGCAGGAAGTGCAGCGGGCGCTCTTCATTCGCGAGCGCCGATGACCGATGATGCTCGCAACCCTCCCACGCCCTTGCTGGCTTGGCAACAGGCCCACACAAGCGCAGCCACACGACCCGGCGGAAGAAAAACGCTCGGAACGAGCGCGTCCACCCCCAAAACGCGGAAGGATCCGCACATGTGCAGGAAGTGCAGCGGGCGCTCTTCATTCGCGAGCGCCGATGACCGATGATGCTCGCAACCCTCCCACGCCCTTGCTGGCTTGGCAACAGGCCCACACAAGCGCAGCCACACGACCCGGCGGAAGAAAAACGCTCGGAACGAGCGCTTCCACCCTCAAAACGCGGAAGGATCCGCACATGTGCAGGAAGTGCAGCGGGCGCTCTTCATTCGCGAGCGCCGATGACCGATGATGCTCGCAACCCTCCCACGCCCTTGCTGGCTTAGCAACAGGCCCAGACAAGCGCAGCCACACGACCCGGCGGAAGAAAAACGCTCGGAACGAGCGCTTCCACCTCTAAAACGCGGAAGGATCCGCACATGTGCAGGAAGTGCAGCGGGCGCTCTTCATTCGCGAGCGCCGATGACCGATGATGCTCGCAACCCTCCCACGCTCTTGCTGGCTTGGCAATAGGC